GAGTTCGACGGCCGAAAGGCGCGCCCCGCTGCTGCTGCTGCTGCTGCTGCTGCTGCTGCTGCTGCTGCTGCTGATACTGATGATGCTGCTGCTGCTGCTGCTGCTGCTGCTGATACTGATGATGCTGCTGCTGATGATGATGCTGCTGATGATGATGCGGATGTTGCTGGTGATGGGGATGGTGATGATGGTGGTGGTGATAGTGAGGATGGTGGTGATAGTTGTGGTGCTGCTGCTGCTGCTGCTGCTGCTGCTGCTGCTGCTGCTGATGTTGCTGTTGCTTGATTCGGCGGCGCTGGCGCCGCTGCTGCTGCTTGTTGGCTCTTGAGGCAGCGACCGTACACTTGGCGTGAAGGATGGGGTGGCGGCCAAAGCTTTTGCTGCTGCTGCTGCTGCTGCTGCTGCTGCTGCTGCTGCTGCTGCAGGACACGAGCCGTTTCGGGCTGACTCGCCGCACGGGGGGCACTACGCTGTCTGCTTCCTGTGGGGCCGGAGCAGCATTTAAAGATTTTGCTGCTGGAGCAGCAAATGGTGTTTTCTTTTTGGCTTCTGCAATGTCGAGGGACTTTGACTCGGTCTCGGCCCAGGTCCCCGCGCTGTCGCCTGCTGCTGCTGCTGCTGCTGGAGCAGCAGCAGCAACTGCAGCAGCAGCCCGCGCAGTGACCCCCCAGAACAGCTCTCCTGCTTCGCGCATGCAGCTGCGGGACGCAACGCCGCAGGGGCCCTACGCCGCGAGCGAAGCAGCAGCAGCACCGTGGCCGCTCGATTCTGCTGCTGCTGCTGCTGCTGCTGCTGCTGCTGCTGAAGGGCAGGATGCCTCCCGGGGCCCCGCTGAGAGCACTAGATCTGCTGCAGGAGACGCCGCTGGCAGCCCTGCTGCTGCTGTCAGCTCGAGGGACTTCTCTGGCCAGACGCTGGAGCAGCTGCAGCAGCAGCAGCAGCAGCAGCACGTTGGGGTGTACATACACCCGAGGGACTATGCGGTGGCGCAGGCAGCAACGCGACAGAACCGCAGCAGACTTCAGCAGCAAATCGATGCAGCGGGACGCGGCTTGACGCGGCGGTGCTTCACACAGCCCATAGCGCAGCAGCAGAAGCAGCAGCAGCAGCAGCAGCAGCAGCAGCAGCAGCAGCAGCTCGAGGGTCAGGCCGAGGGACAGCAGGAAACTGCGAAAGAAGAAGAGGCGCAGCAGCCCCACCGCAGCAGCACAACTGCAGATGCCATTCCTTATGGGGTGCTGCTGCCAGCTCCTGTGTACAGCCGTAGGAGCAGCAACGACAGCAGCAGCAGCAACAGCAGCAGCAGCAGCAGCAGCAGCCGGCGCGAAAGTGGCTCCGCATCCACCCCGCAAGTGCTGTGCATGAGCAGGCCTGCCGCAGCAAGCACCCTGGCGGACGGTGCTGTTGCTGCTGCTGCTGCTGCTGCCAGCGTAGCTGCTGCTGCTGCAGCACCGCCCCGACTAAACCACTACAAAGAGGCCTTTTTGCTCGCAGAGAAAAAAGACAAAAAGAAACAAAAAGAAAAGAATGTGCTGCCGGGGGGCCCCAATGGGGGCTACGCCCTGCTGCCGGACGTGCCCTAAGCAGCAGCAGCAGCGGCAGCAGCAGCAGCAGCAGCAGCAGCAGCAGCAGCGTGCAACGCAGCGCAGCATAGCCACACAGACTGCATGGCGCTGCTGCAGCAGCAGCACTCAAATGCAGACTGCCAGTTTGCTGCTGCTGTCTCCTCGATTTCCTTTCTTTTTCTTCTCCGACCGTCTTGTCTCTAATAACGCAACGTGAGAGGCCTCGCTGCGGCTCCCCTTTGCTGCCTTGTAGCTGCTGCTGTTGCTGCTGCTCCTGCTGCTGCTGTTGCTGCTGCTGCAGCAGACGCAGCAGAGGTGTAACTCTGCTGCCCGCCCGCAGCCAAGCTGCAGACATCAGCAGCGGGCATGACACGCATCCGCATTTACCAGCCAACAGAACACAGCTGCGGGGCTGCATGCAGCGTGCATGCATGCATGCATGCATGCATGCATGCATGCGTGCATGCATGCATGCAGAGTGCTGCTGCTGCAGCAGAATGCCAAAAGCGTGCAGACAGGGAGGAGGCGGCCTAGTGCCTGTTGCTTGGGATTCTGCTGCTGCTGCTGCTGCTGCTGCTGCTGCTGCTGTGCATGCAGCTAGCAGCATTTACTGCAGCAACGCCTTAGCGGTTCCAGCGTGTGGGGTCGCCCTTAGACATTAAAGAAGAAAATACAAACAGTGAATTAAATAAATAGATGAATAAAGAATGTTTTGGAGCTTCTTAGTTGAGTTTATTTCATCAAAAAAGACAAAAAAGGAAAAAAAACAAAAAGAGAATTTTCTTCAACAGCGCTGCAGCCAATGCCGCGGCGCTGAGGTGTATGTACACCTTTCGAGCTGCATTGGATCTTTTGCTGCTGTAGTCTTTCTTTTTAATTTCTTTTAATTTCTTTTGACTATCTTTTAATATTATTCAATAAAATGTTTAAAAAGGACAACTAGATGGGAAGCACTTTGCGCGAAAACAAATTTGAAAAAAAAATGCATTTTTGTTCAAGTCGAAACTTAGCAGCAAAATGGTTCGCATTTTATGCCATTAAAGCATTTAAAAGCCTCTGCTGCTGCTGCAGCAAAGTGTCTCCATGAAAAAGAATTTCTTTTTTGCATTTTGAAATGCAAAAGAGAAAAAATCTGAAGACAGTCGAGCAGCACTTCGCAGGCGCCACGGTGTACGTACACCTCAGCAGCACAGCCGCGAGATCAGTCAAAGACGAAAAAAAGAAAATTTCGGGAAAGTCTTTGGCATTTCGAAAGTCTTTTTGTCCAAAAAGCTCATTACTTTTCCTTAAAAGTTGATTTTAATCGTTTAATTAGACTTTTTATCTTAAATTTGAATTATTTTTGTCTCGAAAAGAAACAAAAATGAGCTCGAAGCAAAGTCTGAGGTGTACGTACACCTCAGCTGCGGGGATTTGAAGCAGCAGCTTTTTCAGTCTGCTCAAATTAATATTTTTGTCTCAGAAAGTTGAAGCTCCCTCTCACTAATGAGTGCAGCACAGAGCCTGAAATATGGCTTAGGGTTTAGGGTTTAGGGTTTAGCGTTTGGGTTTAGGGTTTAGGGTTTAGCGTTTAGGGTTTGGTGTGGAAGTTTCCACGCGAGATAGGCCCTGAGTGCTACTTGAACCAAGCGGCAGCTAGCCACAGCTAGCCGCAGCTAGCCACAGCTAGCCGCAGCCAGCTGCAGCTAGCCGTAAGTAGCCACAGTTAGCCACAGCTAGCGATAGCTAGCCACAGACAACTATAGCTAGCCACAGCTAGCCACAGCCAGCCACAGCCAGCGGCAGCTAGCGTAGCCAGCCACAGCTAGCCACAGCTAGCCACAGCTAGCCAGATTGGGCCCGCATGAAGCAGCAGCAGCTCCTAAGTTCCCAAGCAGCAAGCTCTAAGCAAAGCCCCAAGCCCCAGGCCCCCCAAGACTGTTAACTAAGGCAGACAGCTGCATGCAGGGGCTTTGCTGCCCCAGGGCAGCCCCAGGCGCTGCGCTGCTCCCTGTGCTGTGCATGCGCATGCAGGCTTGCTGCAGCGCAGCAGCAGCTGCTGCTTTTGGGGCTTTTGTGGATAAAGTGTGCAGCAGAGTTGCTGCTGCTGGCAGCGGGAGGTGTACGTACAGCCCAAAGCACCTGCTGCTGCCTCAAAACAACTCCACTAATCTTTTTAAAAGTTAAATTAATGCAAAAATTGCTGCGGGAAGTCCGCGGCAGCAGCAGCTGCGTCGGGGCGTTTCCGCGCTGCTGCTGGCGGTTGCTGAGCTGCTGCTGCTGCTGCTGCTGCTGCTGCGGTCGCTGCTGCTGCCGCGCGTCTGAAGCCGCCGCTTGAGCAGTTGTCGAAGTGTTAAAGGTAAATAGTATTTATTCAATGAAGGAAAATTAAACAACTATTAAAGAACTGCAGCCGTGGGGCCTTTGCTGGCCCACAGACCACGCGGGCGCGCTCCGGTGTCTTGCCACCGTGCTGCGCTGAGGTGTACAGACACCTCACGAAAGTTAATATCCACTTCGCGAGCATTCATTTGAAGTTTTAGGATAAACTGAGCTGCAAAAACTCGCCAAGGAGGCGGCATCGGCGCAGCAGCAGCAGCAGCAGCAGCAGCAGCGGTCCCATCAGTGCAGCAGCAGCTGCAGCAGCAGCAGCTGCTGCTGCTTTCAGAATAGATGGCGCTCTGGCGAGGCTGCGGGGAGTGGAACGAAAGCACTTGAGAGTTTAAAGGAAATATTTGCCAAAATAATGGCAATAACGCTAATAGAAAAAGGCGCTGTTAAGGGTTTGTTTGTTACACCTATTGAACGGTTTCCTGCTGCTGCTGCTGCTGCTGCTGCTGCAGCGCAGCAGCAATCCCTGGCCAGGATTCGACGATCCCACGGGGAAAGGTCATTAAAGCCTTTTGAAAACTTTATTGGTTTTGTTTGGAGCGCTTTTGCTGCTGCTGCTTCTGCTGCTGCTGCTGCAGCAGCCGCGCGCTGCACAGACAACCCGGATACGTTTTAGCTGAGTCTGCTGCTGCTTCTCCCGGCTTGCTGCAGCAGCAGCAGCAGCACAGCCGAAATCCAGCGAATACAGCTCTAGCGGCTCCGTTGCTGCGGCTTCTGCGCAGTCTTTAACTGCGGGTTTCCCGTTGCTGCTGCAGTTGCTGCTGCAGTTGCTGCAGCAGCAACGACTGCTGCTGCTGCTGGTCTTGCTGCAGCAGCTACAGCAGCTACTTGTACTATACCCTCGCGACCACCGGGGTAAGAGGTATAGTGAAGCAGGACGGCGGCAGCCGTTGCTGCTGCGGCAGGTGCAGCAGCTGCAGCAGCTGCTGCTGCCGCTGCTGCAGTCTCGCGACAGCTCGCAGCAGCAGCAGCAGCAGCAGCAGCAGCACAAATGATAAACGGCCGATCAAGTCCGCAGGAAGGGGACCTGGGATCGTCGTCTCCCGCACAGGTGCTGAAGGTCCCCTTCCCCTCGCCCCCTTACCGCAGCAGCAGCAGCAGCAGCAGCAGCAGCAGCAGCAGCAGCGGCTCTCCTGCTGCTGCGGGTGGGCTGAGCAGCACGAACAGCAGCAGCACGAGGTCTGACGAGTCTGCCGTGTGTCTGTCTCCAATAGCCCCCCCGCAAGACAGCAGCAGCCGCAGCAGCAACAGCAGCAGCAGCAGCAGCAGCAGCAGCAGCTATTTTTCTTCGCTGGACCACCCTAGGCCGGTGTACTCGATCAGCGTCAGCAGCAGCAGCAGCATCAGCAGCAGCAGCATCAGCAGCAGCAGCATCGGCAGCAGCAGCAGCAAACGCTGGGCTAGCTGCCGCAGGCCTCTGGACGTTGTTGTTCCGCAGTGTATTTACTTCACCGAAGACCCTGTTACAGGTCAGCAGCCGCTGCAGCAGCAGCAGCAGCAGCAGCAGCAGCAGCAGAAGAGCGGCGGTGGCCGGGGGGCAGCAGATGGCGTCTCTGCTGCAGCAGCAGGAGCGTCTGGAGGCGGATCGCCCCTGAGCCTGCTGCAGCCGTACTGGGGGAAGCAGCAGCAGCAGCAGCAGCAGCAGCAGCAGCAGCAGCAGCAGCTGCAGCTGCAGGTGCTTCCGCCGCAGCAGCAGGGGTCGTACCGCGTCGCTGCTGCCGCCGCCTGCTTGCCCGGGCCTCCCGGCGGGCCCCCCGCAGCAGCAGCAGCAGCAGGGGGCGCAGCAGCAGCAGCAGCAGCAGCAGCAGCAGCAGAGTCTGGCAGCAGACTCTCGTTTTTGCTGACTTCAGTTGGTGCTGCAGTGGGGGTGCTGCAGTGGGGATCGGCTGCGTGTGGAGGTTCCCCACTTACTGCTGCAAGTGGGGCGGGGGCCCCTTCGTGGTTTGTTATTTGCTGCTGCTGCTGCTGCTGGGGGTGCCGCTGCTGTCTTTGGAGACAGTTTTTGGCCAGGTTTTTCGCGGCAGCAACTTGCGAGTCATGTCTTTGTTGTCTCCTTCTCTCCGCGGACTTGCTGCTGCCACTTTGCTGCTGTCTTTTTGCATTTGTTCTTATTATTCTGTCTTTCTGGCCTGGGGCTGCAGTTATGCTGTTGCTGCTGCTGCTCCGCTGCTGCCCTGGGGTGTCTCGACAGCTGAGCAGCAAATCTGTGGGGTCCCTTCGCTGCAGCAGCAGGCGGCCTGCGAGGCCGCGCGGGCGGGGGGGCTCTTCTGCAGGTGGCGCCCTGCTGCTGCTGCTGCTGCTGCTGCTGCAGCGCGGGACGCTGCTGCTGCTGCTGCAGCAGCGGGCAGCTGCGTGGCGGACCCCGAGGCGAAGGCCGCGGCCTTCTTCTCGCGGGCCGTGCTGCAGCAGCAGCCGGCGCCGGCAGCAGCAGCAGCAGCAGCAGCAGCAGCAGCGGCGGCGGGGGTGCCGGAGGAGGCGGCTGCTGCTGCTGCTGCTGCTGCGCTGGG